GTGTTTTGAGAGAGGGACAGTGTTTTGAGAGAGGGGGAGGGGGAGGGAGGGTGCGAGCGACTTTATTTTCCACGAAAAGTACCGGTATTACTTTTGAAAACGTCCATACCAGCATAAGCGTTCTTTAGAACCATTTTGCTAACATAAAATAATAAAGGTATATGAAAGATGTGTGGAAAGAAAAACCTTTTCGGCCTTTGCCCAACACTTCGGGATCGTTCGACAAAAGAAATTCGTGTAGATTCGTTTAGAGCGTGTTGTAGTAATGCATGGGCAAGCACAGCCCAAAACAAGAGGGGTCGTAACCTAAATTTCTGAGCCCCTTTTGCCTTTAACCATTTTTACATAACAGTTTTTTTAACTAGAACATGAATCAAACTTACAAGAGAAATGAAATTTTAACTTTCAAGGCAAATAATAAATACTACTGATTATATTATGTTAAATCAACCTCACGTTCGCTAGTTCGGTCAAATGTATAATTTTCCGAATTGTCAAGTTAAAAAAAAGTTGAAAATTAGGGACAGATTCACGAAAAGAAAATGTTATACTTCGTACGGCAACGGGCCCCTTGGGGGGGGGGCTAAGATCCTTGGACTTTCCCGCTCCTGGGCGCACGTATGGGCGAACACGAAAAACGACTTGCCTTCACTCATCCCCTGCTGGAGTAAATAACTTAATTTTAGCTTAATTTGATTGAAGGTGGCAGTGCAGAAGTAGTATGGGTCACGCCACATTTGACGAAAACAGAAAAATCAAGTTAAAGTTACCGAGTTGTGGTGAAAATGATTTGTGAAAATAAAATAAAAATAATGATTCCATTCTTAATTTTATGTAGGGAACCTGGTCAGATGAACAACTTGTAAAACAGATAAAACAGATAAAAGTACAACTTCGATAACAAAGAATGTCAAAAGCCCTTAAAAAATGTTTGGGGGTTAGACCAGTATTGCGCTCAGTCCTTCAATTTTACAACTATTATAAATGCACTTCGGCGTCGCTGTATTTTAAATTGTATTTTTACAAACAAAAAAAAATTACTCAGACAAAAAGACTTAAATCAATTTCAAAGTTGATGTTATGTATTATTATATTTCTTATAAACTTTTTCACACAGTTGAACTACGTCGAGAAAATAAAATACAATATAACATACAACGGAATGAACAAACTTATAGAGTTACATACTAATAGATTTAGAAGATCTATTACCTTCTATCCAGCACTTAATTTCTGAAGATAAAAACTAATTTAGCAGCAATATTGCCCACAGACACACTGGGCTAGTTTAGAAAAAAAATGCGTTTAACAGTGTCCACAAATCTAGATTTGTATTAAAATGTTTGCTACAGTCACTTAAAGTACATCTTATAGATGATGACAATGAATAAAAACGAATTTTATTACTTGCATTCACCTTTTTGCCTGAATCTTACAAATTATTGTTAGACAATATTTATTTTTTCTAATAAAACTTAAAAAAATGTTTTTCGATTATGAAATTTTGTACGAAGATGTATTATAGAATATATTGATGTAAACATGTTAATTTACGTGTGGATTACGACATTTTGCAGTTTCAAGATCGATACGTCACTCTCTTGAGGCCGCCTCGCGTACTCACCGCTGGAGCGGACGGGCAGGTTGCGCACGCAGATGGCGACGGGCCGGCGGTCGTCGTGCGCGTGGGCGTGGGCGTGCGCGTGGGCGTGCGCGGGGCTGGCGTTGTTGGCGTGCGTCGAAGCCGCACTCACCGCCGACTGCAGCGCGACGCCGCCCGCGCGCCCCGCCCCCTGGCTGCCGCCACGCGCGTGGTGCGCGTTGCTGCCAACACACAAGCGCACAGTCACATGCACATACGCGCCAGGACACACCCTTACTGAGGAAGGCCATTTTTTTATTTATTTACAATGCCAAGATAACATTTTACTGCTTCCTAATAGTCTGTAAAAATTACAAGTGCATTATACTTATTATATTATCTTTTATATTTTTATATTATATTCATTATATTTTCTACAAGTTTCTTGTATAATCAAATTAAAAAGAAAACATAGTATACTTAATTTTCTCTCTCCCTTTCTTCCTATCTATCCAGTCGCCTTCGGCAATTTTGCGTTTCTCATAATTTCGTTCATCTCACTACACCCTTAATACGCCACTTCGCCCCCTACACCGATATTCGTTGATGTTCCTTCATCTTTGCATACGTACGCTTCCGCAGCTCGAATCCATAAATTCTCGGCTATCCGTGAGACGCCGCGTTGTTGGCTGGGGTGCCGACGTTTCGCCTGACATGTCGCAGGCTTCCTCAGGGCAGTGAGTTGGATTTTTTTAGCTTATCTGTTATTTTCCATTCTTTTAATATGGAGATGGAGAAGACAATTCGATTCGATTTTCAAGATTCAGACTATCAAGATGTCCCCCTCTAATATATCACACACATATAACAGCAGTGGTGCTTCAACAGCACATACCTTCTCGCATGCTAACTTCTATCCTCGCATTTCCAAATTTCACAGAGTTCAACGAAAAAGGTATCTGCGCGATTGATTTAAGTGACATTTATTTTAGCCGTGGAAAAAATTAAAGAAAACATTTCGGGTGTTTTTTCAGATTTAAAAAAAATAATTTTCGTTAACTTCAAGCTGAAACTACTAAAAAAACTATACTTTTTTTTTCAAAGAATTGTTCAAGACCTGATGTTTTACAACATATTTAATTTAGTTCAAAAATTTCTATGTTCAATATTGTACTTTTGTAATGTTAATTTTATTGTCAGTTTCGAAAATACAGAAACTTTGCCGAAATTGTTTTACTATCCTTAGATACATACATGCATACCTACATTTTTTTTTAATTCGAAGCATTTTTTGGAAAAATCAATATTTTGAGGAAATAATTGTTTAAAAAGGCCCTATAATTCACGAATGCGAAATTTATGCGAAAAAAACGTTTCAGAAACAAATTACATGACCTTATTTCAAGATTTTTTTAAAGACCAAATTTCATGAAGGAAAAAAAGGTTTATCTCCAATACTGTAGATGTGGGAAGACCCCCCAAAATTTTGACCTTTTAGAATTTTCGAAAAAACAGGAATTTTAACAAACAAGAGACTTGCGCCATTCTTTTATACATTTACGCTATCTGAGACAATGTTTAATAAAACAACTGAGTAATCTTCGAGAAAACTGATTATTTTGACGCTTCATGTGAATCAAAATATCCGTGTCAAACGTGCAGCGCCTCAAGTTCGTTCAGATCGACGGGAGAATATCGATTTTGTGGAAAATTGTCTGAACGGTTTAGGTGCTAGTGTAAGATAGACAGATGGACAGATATATTCATTGCCAACAAATATAACCATAAAAGGAGCCATAACATATGGAATCTGACAAGGCAACGTATTAGATGAAGTAACATACTTCATTTAGGGACAAGATCCATCTATTTTCTCGGTACCAGGGCTCGGCAATAAGTTTTCTGTCGGAAAACCGTAATTTGTACATCTAAGGCTTTCTGTACTATTCAGGAAAATTATTATTCCACACTAGCTCGCATACTTGTCGTTTCACGCCTGGAAAATTATAAAAAGTGATACTTTACAGATCTGAAATAGGACGGACAGTGAAGGCCGACGGTAAGAACACGCAGTGAACTAAACGGCAATTTATATTCAATCATAGGCAACGTAATGAAATTCTGTTCTTGAATGGAGAACACCAAATTCAATCTGATACGAAATAAAACGTACTACAACAGCCAAGGAGGAAGGTAAAAACATGGGGGAGAGGGGGGGGGGGTCTTGCCCGTCTTCCCCCGGTGGTGATGAGCAAGCTCATATGAAGCTGTTTGTGTGTGTGTGTGTGTGTGTGTGTGTGTGTGTGTGAATATATGTATGTACGCACGTGTAAAGTCCACAACGTCGCTCGCTGGGTTATTTGAGACTACGGTCTGAACAAGGAAATGAATTAGGATATGGACGAGTTATGCGGTATTCTCGGGATAGAAGGGCGATTGCCTACTTGTGTATTTGTAATTAGCCATTTTATGTCCCGTAGGGGGCAATTGGCGTCTGCGCAGTTCGATCCCAGTGTACCTAAACGGTCACCCAACCAAGAAACCGCGATGTCTCGAAAGAGCATAGACTGACACTAGGTATTGGTCGTTTAAGTTGAAACTTTCCTGAGATGAAACGCGAAACTATTTTGAAAATAACCTTCGAAATGTAATTAAACACTGTGAACCGTTTAGGGAAAAACCTCTATTATAACTTTTCCTCTTCAGGTCTCGTAAGAAGCAAAATCGAAATCGCCCGTTCGATGTCAACGACCGAATTATAGAGAATAATTTATTTCGACATTATTTAAATAACATTTTGTGAAAATTCCCATTTTCGTGATCACTATTCCCACTTTTTGAAATAGTGGAGCTGCGAACTTGAAAGTGATACAACAAATGCTACAACTATCTATTCTCTTAATAAATAAAAAATAAACAAGGTTGCAATGTTCAATTAGCACAACTTGACTCTTTAACACACCAAGCCCTCTTTATATTTTGATATTGATACTCCGAGAAGATTGTGGTCTGTTGAATATAATCCTTTAATATCATTACTTTCAGTTCTTCCCAAGTGGTGACAAAACATAATAAAAGAATGGAATGGTAATATTTGTCTATATTACTGCTCTACAATCATTTTCGCCTAAGATCACGTTCACTCGCTGATGTCTAACGAACGATAAGTTTTGAGAGCTGAAATCATTTTTATATATTTTGTTCAACTGTACCGACTTCACCGAGTGAATTCTAAAATGGTAATCGTCAGGTTTTGGTTTCTCGAATACGTACGTATATAGTATAGAGAAAGGTATGGAACGTTGCAGCAAAAATGGCGAATTTTCGACAGACAACTCGTATTGTAAAGCCCTGATATAGAAAATAGCATATTCCTGTTTTAAAACATAGTAATTTGCGCCTCCTAACACATTATGTAGTCATAAAAATTTTGGGACTTCGATACAGAAAAATTGTTTTCTTTCTAAAAACGTCCGCCTGTCTTCTGTGAACAACACTAGCGCGTAAACTGCACGTAGGATTTGTTCCAAACTGAATAAATCCCTGTCGACCTGGCGTCACTCCGAAGCTCTAAGTTTTTGAAAAACATTATTTTGTACAAAGTCGCTTTTCAATGAAGATCCACGGACATTTCCCAAATTTTCTCAAAAATGGCTCCACATTTTTTCTTTAACTTTCTCGCAATAATAGTGTAATGTACTTATAAAAGGTGGCATAGATCCATTTTACACTGTTAATTCTGCATTTTTAAAAATTGCAAAATATTGTTGCGTCTTCCTACAACTGTTGAATTACAGTTGAATTGAAGACATGTTTCTTTCAAGTAAAATTTGTTGCCCATAATTAGTTCTTTCATTCAGGTGGTGTACGTGTTTTCGAAAATTTTAATAGCTTACGTGGAATATTGCCTGCAATATTAAACAATAACAAAAGCAAGATTTTATTAAACACGGCTTCAAAATTTTCTTTTACACTTTTGGTAGGGATAGTGCTAATTGTACTCTATTAGATGATTTAATCCCCGTTCTGCTCTGTTCTTTTGTGTTTCAAAAATTTGCACAAACAATGTTTTTGTTACCTCTCTCATGTCGTTAATATTTGCAATACAGGAAATTTGCTCACATTATTTCGTTTATGAGTACATGTGATTTAAATGTCATAAAATTTCTCGAAAATTCAGCAATTGTCTGTGAAAATAGCTCACAATTCCATGTTTTCAGAAACGCTGAAACTACATTTTCTCAAGTGCTCCAACTTTTTTCAAGCTTTTCGTGTGGATAGTGCTTATTACACTGCATAAGATGACATAAAATTAATTTTCCTGTGTTCTTTTGTTTATTTTAAAAAAATACACAATGCTTCTTTTCAAAATATCTCTAACACTTTAGAATACGTATTAGAATACGCAGATTTCTAGCGATTTTGCATACGTTATTAAATTTGTAGGTGGTAGTGCTTTAAATAATTTCCAATGACTTTCTTCGAAAATAAAGATTTTTGAAAAAACCTAAAAAATTCTCATTCACAGTAATGCATAAACGCTACTTTCTTAAACACGGCTCAACATTTTTCAACGAAAATATCTTTCTAGGACGAGTTTTTATTCTTATACAGTATGTACGAAGTAATATTTCGGTTCTATCATTACGAAAACGAAAAATTGAGAAAATTTCGAAAACAAATGTTCTTTGGGCGGTGATTATGGCAGTTGTCAAGAGTATGTTGGCAAGTCCGAAAAGCCAGCCCAGACCAAAGGAATTAGAAAACTAACAAGTACGAGAAAGTCTGTGCCACCCTATAGCACCACTAGTTAGAAGTTGTGTTCGAATCGGGAGCTATTAGCATTCCGTTGACGAGTTAATCATTACGAAATTATGTTTAGAAGACCATATTGTTAATTATATCACGTTTAACAAAGAAAAAGAGATATATTTTCAAACTGGGTATCTTAATGTTGGGACTAAGTTCCCACAGATGACCTTTTAAAAATGTACTTGACTGACATTGTATCTTTCTGAGGTGGCGCTCCGAACACTACTAAAGGATTCATGAATATACAGAAAGTGTTGAATTTACAGAGAAGTTTCTATTACTTAAATATTTAATTCTTCTCTGAATATTTTTTAATAAACCATTATTGTTGTCCATACATTTTTCATTACTTACTTTCCATATTTCACGTAGACTACACAAATATGATGAAACAGGTGTGCAGTTTTTGTTTTGTTTATGACTACCAAATAAAGAGGGAAGAATGAAAAGTAAGTGTCAATAATCGATTTATGATATTCTGATAATGTAGTTCTCCGACATAGACTTCATACGTTTTGGTACGGATATTACAGAACTCTCGGTTCGACAATATAGGCCGCAACACACCGAAGACACGAAATCGCAAAGGGTTGCTTTATGAAGACCGAGTTTATAGGATAGTTTGTGAAGATTCTCAGGAGAGTTGCATATTTGCGCTTCCCATTTCGCGTTTTATTCTCTTCCTTGGATGTGTTCTTCTGAACGTTATCGGTATTTCCTGTCGTCTTGACCAGAATGTCTAATACGAACACGGACCTTCCCAGAACCAATTTTCCAGAATATCTCGGTTTTTCAATTCATTTAAACAATTTAAAAAAACTGTACAAATAATGTGTGTCTTTAACTAATATGCAAGGTTTTCCGGCGCAAAGACGACAGTAATTTTCTTTTTCTATTGCTTATTTAAGGTCGCTTTTCAACTACTAAGGTCATATACATTGTACCTAAGTAACATTGTCGGGAACAGTAACGGTATACAGAACTACTAACATCCATGCCCCGGACAAATTCGAACCCGCGATCCTCCAGGTAAGAGACTACTACGCCTCTTCGTCTACCCAGGCCGGCAGTAATGATGTTTATTTAAGAAAAGAAAGAAAAAAGAAATGTCGACAAGGAAACTGCCCTAATTCTTTAGAGTGGTCTCGATGACCCTGAAAAATTTGAAATCCAGAGACATGGAAAGATTATTATACAAGTTGTAAGCGAGTGTTCACATTTATTGTATGATTTCATTTAAAAATATGAGACATTTCGGGCGCAGTTTGCGACCCCTGTCCATTGCATTACAAAACCTCTACAATCAATCACAGATTAGAACATGTTAGTTTTGTATGATTGTTACACGCACATCGCAAATTGCACGTTGCGAGATATTTTTAATTGAAATATAGTAACATTAATATCCACATCCATTAACAATGTGTGGAACATAAAGCCTGAAGGCGGCGAGAGACACAAGACGATGGCTCACCTGTGTGGCGAGCAGGACTTGTCGGTGCGCGGCGAGGAGGAGGCGGAGGTGCAGCTAGATGAGGCCGAGGGGCTGGAGCTGGAGCTGGAGCGGCTGTGGCTGCGGCTGCGACTCCGCGACCGCGACCTGGACCTGCTGGATGCCGAGCGGCTGACGGCGCTGCTGCTGCTGCGGCCCCCGCCGCCGCCGCCACCGCCGCCGCCGCCGCCGCCGCCACCGCCGCCGCCGCCACCGCCACCGCCGCCGGAGCCAGACTCGCTGCCCGACGCCGACCGGCTGCGCATATGACCACGTGCCACCCTTCCCCAAACGCCCCCACAAGCATGAACACGCACGCACGACCTCACACACGGCCATCACCCTCTGCTCGCTTCGCTGTCACCTATGCATGCTTGTTTTGACTACCTTGTCTTCCTGCCTGGTTGACTGTCGCGTCTGCCTACCTGCCTGCCTCGTTGACATACGGGCCTTCCTGCGCAATTATGAGTCTGTTTTTCTGTGACTGCCTGCCTATCCGCGTACGACCTCCTACCACCCGCGTCTACCTCACCTTGTCTCACTATATACATAACGTACAAAAAATAAAAGCAATACTTGTTCAACTCTGGAAACCAACTAAAGTATGAAGTTCGTCAAGAATGGTCGCTGGCTACCTCTTCCTAATCACTGGACTTAATCATACATTATTAATTCTAGAAAAAACTCTCATCAAATTTCAATCCAATACCAGCAGCGAGAAAAATGTGAAGAACTTGTTTTTATATCGCAAATTGGTCGCCCTATTTAACCTAGTTCTCATATGATGGGAACTGACCTTAGTATCAATAGGCAAAATTAACAAATGCCATTCGAATCCGCAAAGTGTAGTGGTTTTATTAGCAAAAAAGTATACGACCCGGGGGCGATGTCTTCTTAACAGATCATTACAGAATTGAGTAACGCATATTTACAGTCACCTTACATTGGAGATTTTTAAAAACATCTAAATTTGTTCAAGGAAACTTGGTCGCATATTGGAACTGCAACACATAGGGGGTGAGTAAACATGAAGTACTACATATTAGTTAAAAATTATTAATCAAATTACACGTAAACCTAACATTATATACGAAAATTTATAATAACGCTACAAGACCATCAGAACTGACCAGGCTTGATCTCCACAAAATAAGATTTAACAACGAAAGTAATTCCAATTTTGCATTACTATACTACCCAACACACTACATTGCATTATGGAGATAAAATTCTCACAATCTCAAAACAGGGTGATTAATAGACACGTCTCTACTACTACCATATGAACACTATTTTATCGTTGATTCCATTCTATACATCCAGACATCCTCACCCATTCAACAGATACTCTCCACTCCCCAAAACACGTAATAAAGCTTCACACGAAGCATGCACTTCATGCACTTCACACGAATGCACTTCACACGAAGACAACGGATCAGCAGAAACATGTAAAGTGCAACATTATTTTCGCTCAGCGAACACAAACACGAAGAGCAAATTACGGATGTGCGTATATTGGAAGATCCGCTACACACTGCAATTCCACGTGTTATAAATTAACCACGAATTCTTAGGTTGTGAACCTTTATAATTAAGAGTCTTCAATTAAGACTACATCTACATACCCCCGCCCCCCAAAAAAACTTTAAAAACGGGACATCGTTTATTATTACATTGTCTTCATTTGTATCAATTGAACAATTTATTATTATTGAATTGTTTACATTATATTCTTTTGTATCAATTGAATGATGAATGAATAATGATTTTTTTTGTATTTTTGAATGATTTTAAATAGACGCTGAACAAAAAAAGAATTAATACTATTTTTTCGACCTCAAGCATCTTCCCACGTTCTTCGAAAGTGCAAGCATACTACGACATATGTAGGTGTTTTTTTAAGAATTTATATTTAATGCAAGAAACACAGCAGTTATTTTAAATTAAGTTTCCAAAAGTAAACTATTTAAATTATTTTAACAATATGAAAAATAATATATGTCAAACGAAAACAAAAACATTACTACGGAAGTTGCAGAAAATATCAGCACCATTTGGTTCTTCAAGTATCTCAGGGAACGTTGAAATATGGACTATATGAGGTATCACAAAAAGGGTCCAATTCGAAGAAAAGCGAAAGTATTAAAATAATATACACCACAACGCTAGGAAATGTGACAGGTTCTTAAACAGTTGCTAAGATGGGTTCCAGCCAAACGTGACCATCATTTTTACATAAAACATCACTTTGAAACTTTGAAACCTTAATAGACAGAACTGTTGCTACGACGAAGAATTTTTATTGCCCCAATGGGATTACTACGAGTTCTGATATTTCAGAAAATGCATGCCTGAAATTGGAATATATTAGAGGTAAGAACAAATTTAAAATGACCATGGAATTTGGCAGCAATAAGTTTACAAAGTTATCCCACTTTTTGAACACGCCGTTTTTACGCATGCAAAAATAATTACACTCGTTATGATCATATATCGTCGATGAGAAATTAAAAAAAGGATCCTTTCAGATACAGCTGAAACATCTGTAGACCCATATCATCTCTCCAATCAGACTGTTCCATGTTAAAATGGGTATAATATAAGTCATCTTCTCATTATGCTCCGAGAACTGCACTTTCCTTGCTCGGACTATGATTCCCTCGCGGGGACACTAGCTCGACCTTTGACCTCAGCGATATTGCAATTGGGATTTCTACGACTGCCCTACAGCCTGGCCCAGTAATCCGCACGTCGACTTCAGGACGAACCACTATGAGTCATTGCCAGACGTGAATTTTCGACGGGGGAACACCATTTGGGTAAAAATTACGATCTAGTCGTTCTTCCAAGTATGAAGCTACACTTTTTGTGGTTACATCGCATCACTGTAACTGAGGGAACAATATCTGGAACGAAGGATTCATTTCGATCCAACGTCGACTAAGAAGAAGGCATCCTGATTCCCTTATTGATTTTAATCGAATACTGTAATACTACAGTTTTTCAAAGTCGTGACACGACAAATCTGGAAAGAATTCTAGTGCGCATGCGGCGGCATCCAGTGATGTGTTTTCGACTGACGAACCTCGTCATGATCCCTGTTTTGTCGTCTGCGACAAAACGTCACAGCTCACACTTTACGTAGTTTCCGCCGTCACAACTCAACACGAATTCGACACGAAAGCGCAAGAGCATGAAAACAATTTTAAAAAAGAATACAGGATCCATAGTACCAATATTTGGCAGTAACGTTATGATTACTTTTTACTCAAGTTAATTCAAACACACCAGGAATAAACAAACGTATTTGTTTAGGATTTGGATGTTATGTGTACATTAAGGCTTCATTGATTGTCACGAAGTATTAGTTATTTATCTACAGGTGATATATTTGCCATACATTTACTATTCCTTACATATATATGGTATCGTAAAATTGTTGGGTTACGTTCTAAGACTATCTAGGAAGCTATTCTTTACTTTGGAGAGAAAAACTTGTATTTTACATATTCGTATGACACAATCTCATTTCATGTACTTTATGTGATACAATCTTGTAATCCTTATAAAAAGAAAAATAGAGTGGGAAGATACACAGACGTTCAATAAATGCTTTTAGGTACTGTTGAAGGTTTTCAGTTCCAACTACATAGTTCCTAGTATTATGTATGTTTTTGATTGTACGAATTGCAAAAACTCAGTTTGTGAAGAGACGTTATAGACCATGTTTACGGCTACGACATTGGATTTGCAAAAACTCACCGTCCGCGCACTCTAATTGGCGGTTTCCATGGAAACGCCAAGGCCTCTTGACGTTCACCCGCGTAAGGCCCGTAGACGTTCCTGATATGAACGACAGATGTCTCACCTGCATATTCTCGCCCCGAGCGCACTGAATTCCCAGCGCCTCAGACGCAGGACTGCGACCGAGTGGCCGGTGGTTTAAAGCGCAGTGGGTCAGATGTATGCACGAATGCTGCTGCAATGGTCTACATTTATGTTTATACGCATAAAAAACTTAAGTTTTATGTTACTTTCCCTGCTGCAAACGTGAAGAAATGGTGGGCACGTAAGCCTACCTGGACTTGGGTCGCTTCTTGTGGGCGGTGGCGGCGGCGGCGGCAGCCGCGGCGGGCGGCGGCTGCCGGCGGCGGCCGCGACGGGCGGCGGCCGCGTCCGGCGATCGTCGGCGTAGGGGTCGGGGGCGCGCTGGCGGCGAGCGGCGGCGGGTAGCGCGGCCGACGCGGCTGGCGCTCTCGTACGCGGCCCCACGCGCTGCCCAGGCCTGCGGTGGTGCGGCCGGGGGGCGGCGGCGGCGGGGGCTTGCGACCTGCGGCAGCGCGCGCCAGCCCGTTCTCAGCCCCTCTCCTCTCCTCTGCCTTCCCCACCCGGTTGCCGGCATAGCGGGGCGGCGCAGAGCGAGGGAACTTCTACCTCACGAGCCTCGCTCAGTCTCGCGCCGGCCCGCCCCGACGTCGTCACGCCCTTCCACAAAATGGTCTCCCCTCGTGCAGTGTTACGAGTCGGCCATAAAAGACGTCCGCAGTTTTTGACTCGACGATCTCACCCCTCACCGTCCAAAATAGCAATACCCATCTCCCAAGAATACCTTTTTGTCAGTCTGTGTATTGTAAAATATTGACGTGAAAACTAAAAATTCGTTTCAATGTTAACATTTGTGTAGCTTAGAATAAATGTTACAAACTTCTAGGGCACGTAGGGCGGAGGGTCGAAAATGATTACTTTTCTGCCAATGAACATATGAGAATATGAATGTAAAGAATTTTCTTACGTGCATTGGATTTTGACTGATAAACAACCCATCACGAATTGGTGTACGTTAGGTACACTAAATACTTTGGACAGCGCGACCAGCGAAGCACCGATGTATGATGGGTCACGTGACACTCAGGGGTGAAAGTCACGTGCAACTTCGTGGTATGAAATTTCCCACGTGTTCATTGGCATAAATGATCTTGGAGGCCCCACTGCATGTGCGAACAATGGAGTACGTAGAAAAGGCACCGTGCTCATAACCGACGACACAATGCTAGATTATCGAACTCCATTTCTCCCTGAATAGTTCGTTTTGTAATGTCGCAGAACAAAGAGTGCGAAGAAACTGTATTTTAATTAAAACGTAGTATTATTGTGATCCACATTCTAATTTCATTACTTCAATTTTTTCCCTTATTATTTTTCTCCCAACTAATGTTTTAAAACTTGGAGAACCTGCGTGAATTAAGCAATTGTAGATGAATGG